ACCGTCCTGCCTTTTCACTAAAGAGCTTGCTGTATGGGGTAGATGCGTGGTATACATCTCGAATTTATGGATAACAGGGACCGCAACATCATTACTCCATGAACGTGCTAAAAGTTCGGGGAAGAGTAATAACCGAAAATGACCCAGATCAATCCCTTGTTTTTGGAAACATATCGCATGAAGTAAACCTTAACGCTTGTTCAAGTTTAAAAATCAAAGCAATATGCTACCTTTTTGGTCATCCTGACCTTCTAAAGGTAACAAGGCTTCTGGCCCTAAATGAAAATCAGTGACCTATTCAGGCATTTAGGTTCAAGGCGGTTGCATGAGGAAGTCTGGAGGCACTTTGGGCACCAATCTGGAGTTCGATCTTGTTAGACCTTATCTGACCCGATGTTCATGACCTAAGAACATATAATTTTCAAAAAGATGCGTTCACGTACAGGCCAACACACCCGCTGGACTTTTTGTTTTTAGCTCTCTTAGTTCTTAAGATCTCAGGGGGTCAAACTGACACCTCACCCACACCAGTAAAGAGTATTCAACCGGCCACCCGGGCGCATGTTTACGAACTTTTCCTGCGGTGGTAAACAGGTAGCCGGGGGCGGGTGAGAGAAAAGATGGACAATTTCTATCAGTTCTTGATTCGCATAACACATTTTGGAAGTCAGGAAATTTCCCTACATGTTGTGCTACATTTACACCAAGAGCTCTTTTCCACCGGTGTTCAATTTCACCGACGCAGCTCATCTATACTATTCGGCAAATAAGACTATCCAGCTTCTTGAATTACCTATCTTTTTCAACATTGCTTCTCCGGTAGAGGCTCATTTCTACAAGCGCATATACACTTTGGGTTGTTTGGGGAGTGCTCTGCCCCTGCAGATTACGTCATAAGGCTGCTTGAATACAACTCGATGCTTTGGGAAAAAGCTGGTGTTTCATAAAACGCCGGCTGTTTGCGCAACTTCCGTGATGTTAGCATTATTACGCTATCTGACTGAAATGGGCGTCGTTATTTAAGATGCTTGTCAGGATGTGGCCACCTTTTGTAATCACGATTAATACCCCATTTTCCTGGTGAATATATATATATATATATATATATATATGTATATATATATGTAAATATATACACATATATGTATAAAATTTTAGTATTTCATGAAGCGCTCTGAAACGAAACGTCGACTAAATCGACTTTATGTCGATTGCGTCGGCTTAACTAGTCATTTAACACTTGACTAGTCTACTTTTTCGTTTATTTTAAGTTCACGGCGTCGACTTTATGCATATATTATAGGCATCCCAGTTTGCATACCATACATATATCGATATGTATGTATGCATACATATTTGTGTATCTGCCTAATATATCTGTATATATATATATATATATATATATATATATATATTCTCACTGATACACCCATAGAAAAGTTAGCCGAGGTTCGTAATCAATCTAAGACGCCAGCGGTCGCAAAAATTCAGCACCACGCGGTCGTTGCGAAAACAGAATGATTACTGGCTCGCGAAGTGGAAAGCTCACACTACGACCCGGCTGAAGCACATTAGCACATCAATATCCAGCCAACACCCGGTACTTCTATGTTCGCCGGTAAGCACGCGTCTTGCTTCCGTGGAGCTGCCGCCTGGTGAAGTAAACGAACACCTGGCTGGGGCCGACGGGTCGGCGGTTCGGAAAGCGTGACGTACATGGTCGGTCTCAGGGCCAGCATGCACCGACCGACAAAACCCTGGGGCCGGGCTTAGCACTAGAGCCAGAGGAAGGAACATGGAGGAGGAATTTCGAAATTCCATCACGACGAGGCGACTGGGTGCAGGGGAGCCAGGGGGCGGTCCGAGCAGAAGGGGGACAAAAACACCGGGCCGTCCCTTGACTGGGCAACAGGATCGAGAAGAAATAATCAGACGAAATGGAGAGAAAGGACCCAGCTCGGGGGGGGGGGGCATCCTCGCCAGGGCGCTTCCGTGGGCACTTAATGGACGGTGGCACTGATTAATCATCCCTGCATCCACCGCCTCAGGACATCCAATATTAGTGGGAGAATTGAGCAGGAACATTGAACAGCCAAAGTCTACACTTACCTGTCTGCATTCCCTCGTCACGGCCCCACCCACACACAGCCCCCCCCCCCCCCCTCTCCCTCTCTGTGGTGCCAACTATCTAATCATGGGCTCGGTGCGTGGCGCAACGTAAATCCCCATGAGTGGACCGCTCGGGGAAGGAGCGGGATGGGCGCAGTTTAGAGAGGTGGGGTAGGCAGATTGTAATGGGGACGGAACGAGACAGAAGTGAGGGCGAGTTAGAAGACCAATGACGGGAGAGGATGAGTTGAGCAGCGGCAGCGCAGCGTATGACAGTAACGGTCCAGTCCCAGTCCAGCGTAAGGATGGACCAATTAAAATCACAACTTCAGTCAGCTGCTGTTTGAAGCCTAAGACATAGGGACGAAAGTGATAGGCGAGATGCTCTGCTGGGAGAGTTATATCCCAACTCACGTCAAACGGTTGTAACATGGGAAAAACCCTCTTCGTCTGACACAAGCTCCGCCAAATGTTGTCACGTCCTTATCTCAACCTCAGCTCTACTCTTGGGCAGTGAAGTGACCTACGTGTTTCGCTAGGAACTGACCATCCTCACAGCTGTATGTAGTTCTGAAAAGAGTAGGAGGTGCAGTACGTTACTGGGCAGGAGACTCGTTGCAAACCGGCCAGTCTGACTGAACAGTTGGGCGCTGCTGGCATGAAATGTCACAGAGGGATAGCCAAGAACAGAGTGAACATTACCAGGATCAGTATTTGATAATCCCGATTATCAAAAAATTACCCAAGTTATTGCAAATATTGTATTGACTCGAAAATCACAAACGCGGGTCAATGGAGACCAAAGATGCTCCTGGGGTGGTCATAAACCGCTTTAGGAAGTTCAAAGATATTCAGTGATCAAAAAGCAGAAATCGTTGCATAAATTGCAGCATGTTGCGATATTTTTATGGTAAAACGATGCAGCGTAAGGTCCTTAAATACCCGCATTGTTCTCACCAGGCAAAGGAGCCCCTCCCCCAAGAGCAGTACTTGTAAAAGGCTGCTAAATTGCACTGCACAACACCTACAATAATGCGCGCACCCCGGTGTAAGGCTTCAATAACACAAAACATCTGACGTATTCCAGGTGGTTGACCTTATGTTTTACTCCCAGAAAATATGTCATCAAAAGTCTACAGATTTTGCTGGCTTCGTCTCTTTCTGCTGTCACCACCAACATTTTGATATACGCGTCATGTCACTTCACTTGAGTCAGAACGGCTTAGAATTCGTGTACAAGGTGCTATTTTGGCTTTTAAACATCCGGTGTAAGGTCAACGAATTGCAAAATGCAACTTCCTTCTGGTTTGCACGCGCGTGGATCACTAATAGCTGGTTGTTCGGGCGCGTGTTATCCTGTCTGGCTTCGATTATATTTAACAGACAAATGCTCTCGACAATACTTTGCCTCAGAATGGCAGGATCCCCCAATCTCAGAGAATGAAGATGCTCCAGGTGTACCTACGGATTGCTATGTACCTACGCGCTACACTCAGCACTCTACGGTGGGCAGAAAAGGATGGTTTCCCGAATGAAAAATGCAAATTTTAAAATTTCAGCCGAAAAGTGACTAAAATCATATGTTTCTTAGAGCAGGCACCGAGTTCCAGAGCGACCATAACGTCACTTTCCCGTCTTTGATGAAATCCTTGATTTGTCCCTGCTGATGCCTGATGGTTGTGATAATTGGAACTCCAGCCTTATATGCGGAATAGGTCATCACAACCTTGCAACTGAGCCGTCTGTGTTTCGTGCTGATTTGGGGGTAGTACCCTGTATCGAATGTCAGGATTTGACAGCTTGAATTTGGTTATTTTGAGGGCCTTTTTAATGGCAGTGACCGTACAGATTCGAAGCATTTTGTATATTCCACGTGTAAATGATTTTTCGCTTAATCTTGTTCAGTTGTGACCAAGGCCGTCGTGATCGTGAGCACAGCTTCGAAATAAAGGTCGGCAGTTTCCAACACACACTATTCCAACCGATAATGTCAGCTAAATCATAGATTGTGCCGGCAACTGTTTGGAGTGAAGTCGCTCACACTATTCGTGCGGATAAGTATCTGTGAAGCGAGAGCCGCCTCAGGCGCTTCGGCCGCGGCTGCACACGCCGTGAGATGGGCTCGTCGCGATAGCATCGGGGCCGGCCTCCAGGCAATGACGAGGCTCATCCGACGAGCTGCGCCCGTAGCGTGACACGCAGGGGTGGAGCTGCCAGACAGGTGCGGCTCCGCAGACTGGCGCAGCCTCCTGCCAACGGAGGGTCATCAGCCAACTGGCTAGACATCCGTCTGACCTGGCCGAGGTCGCCCGCGTGCACTGTGCACTCCATCTGCTCTGTCGAGCGCGCAGTTCCGTCTTGCATCCATTGGTAAAGCCACTGACAAACTGATTAAAGAGACGGAATTCCGTTGAAAAGGGTAGATGGACAGAAGGGCACATTGCAAGGTTCCAGAAAGGGAAGGCGGTGTGGGAGTTGGCCTTCGCAGGCAGTTCCTGCTTAAGCCCGCTGCGATGAATGGTCGGTAAGAGAGAAAATAAAGTGATCGTGTTTTAAAAACTTGCAAGAGGCAAAACGCTGACGACCATGGCAACAAAACAGACACCAGAAACACAAAAATGACGCATTGATATCGCAGCGTGAAACTTACGTAGCATAAATGGACCTCTTCCGATACCCGTTGCGCCCCTGCAAAGCAGTCCGTCACGCGGTGCTACAGGTGGAGTTCATGTCGCTTGCGCCGGCACCGGGCCTGGCCGAGCCGCGCCTACGCCTCGAGCCCCGCGTTCCTGACTCCGACTCTGACTCCGGACCGGAAGTGCGGCGGGGGGGGGACGTCCTGTGGTCCTGCCTCGTCCGTGTGGAGTGACATCCGCCCATGCCTGCCGCAGCCGCCGGCCGACGTCGGCCTCGTCACATCGATGCACTCAACACCATCGGCGCCAAGTGCGTCAACTTCACGCGCGGCAGCGAACCATTAAAGGAGTTCTACTCGCCCGGCTGGCCGGGACCTTACCCCAACAACACCGACTGCGTCCGCATCATAGCCGGTGAGTGGGACGGCGGCGCCTGCAGAGCCAGCGCTGTCCGCGCGGAGCTCTGCGCTACGGACGATCCTTCCCTGATTGGCTGGTGAGGGGACGGCGGCGCCGGCGGAGCCAGCGCTATCCGTGCGGAGCTCTGCGCTGCGGACGATCCTTCCCTGATTGGCTGGTGAGGGGACGGCGGCGCCGGCGGAGCCAGCGCTGTCCGCGCGGAGCTCTGCGCTGCGGACGATCCTTCCCTGATTGGCTGGTGAGGGGACGGCGGCGCCGGCGGAGCCAGCGCTATCCGCGCGGAGCTCTGCGCTGCGGACGATCACTCCCTGATTGGCTGGTGAGGGGACGGCGCTATCCGCGCGGAGCTCTGCGCTGCGGACGATCCTTCCCTGATTGGCTGGTGAGGGGACGGCGGCGCCGGCGGAGCCAGCGCTATCCGCGCGGAGCTTTGCGCTACGGGCGATCCTACTCCCGTTGTCTTGTCTTGGTTTGTAGCTGGAGGTGTTGTAAGCCGGGACATTTGAAAGCCCAACGAACGTTTTTTCTTCTTCTTCTGAATGGCAAAAGCAAAACACCAAGGTTACATATTTGCACCTTTGCTGGTATCGTGGAAGTCTTTTTCACCGCAGAATAGTTTAGAGCCCTCAACTGGACAGAGAGCTACCAGCCATGAAACCATGTGAAACCACCAGAAACCATGTGACAATGGTTTCCAACCACCTCATTAACTTCCAGCCCCACGGATTCCGCAAAGCACAAGTATGAAATGAAGGCAGAACAAAACGGGACAATCAGTTCTTATCTCTGACCAGCCGTTGCTGACGTTCAATTTTGGTGGACCTATTTCGGATGACGCCGATGAGAATGTTTTGACTATCATAAACGCCACATTCTGCTTGCCATTTTTGATTCCCCTTAACCCTCGCAAAAAAGGAATTTCAGCCAATACGCTTACGTGCCCTGGTTGGTTTCGACTGGTACAGCCTCGCGCCGCTCGTGCATTCCGTAATGAATGACGCCACCACGCACCGAGTGACGCCAAGCAGCAGTGAGCAGTGGCCCAGAGAGCGGCGCTGGTAAAGGCAGCCGGGGCTCGGAGCCTGCCGCCGCCCCGGCGCACCCGCCTCGGGCGCATTATTTATAGGCGGCGAGTGGCGTCGCGTCGCTGGTGTCTGCGGGACGGCGGCCGTCGCCGCCTGTCGCCGCCCGTGCCGCCCACCGTCGCTGACGTGTGAAGTCCCGCCCTGCCGCCCTGCCCCGCCCGCCCGCGGAGCGAGGCCGGCGTCTTCGCTTGCTGCCGGCGACAAAAACCGCCCTCTGGGGACCTCAGCGTCCGTGGAGATGTAGTCCCGGCGCCGGTGACGTGGAAAAGTGTGAGACGAGTGTGTTGTCTGTTTCAGCTCCTGAGGGCCACACAGTTGAGGTTGACTTTCGGAACGCGTTTGACGTGGAGTACAGTCCGAATTGTATGAATGACTTCCTTATGGTAAGCTAAGTTCCCATCTTCCATTCACGTTATACCACGTGGTGATAACACGGACAACGCGAATCGATGTTTTTGTGCAACGTCAGTGCCATTCCACAAGCGTTGAACGCTTGTAATGCACAACATGTCTCCTGTTTAATTAGACACTCTTTCCAATGCAGAAATCGCCTGTGGTGTTTGCACGGGCTAGAATGCTGCCTGCCAGGGCCAGTCACGTATTGACATTTCACGCATCGCGTATTGACATTTCACGTTCGTGCCGCAACCAAAGCAAACACAAAATTCGATTCCTTGAACATAAAGGAAGTTCTGTAATGTGTTTGCTCCAAGCATTACATCTGAAGCTGGTGCATGCTTGATGAGGGAACGGTTGCATGGGTACCTGGGTTAGCCCGTCCCCCCCCCTTTCGACAAACATGAAATAAGCTTCGGACGCTACCATCAAAACGTACAGTCCCACCGTACCCAGCTCTTACTTAGCGATTCACTGTTAACCAACATTTCATCGTCGCTGTTTTACTGGGGATGCGCGGCACACGTCATCGCGCACCCCTTCGTGGTCCTTCGCATCGCCCTTGGCACGCCAACAGCCGCGGTGGCGGGCGGCCAGCGCCTCTGGCGGTCACCGGGTGAACCGCCGTGACCGGCAGGTGCGCGACGGCAAGGAGCCATACAGCCCCGAGTTGGTCCGACTCTGCGGCCACAAGTTCCCGGCCGTGATCTCATCGAGCGGCAACTATCTCTGGCTCCGCTTCAAGTCGGACGACACCATTCAGTATAGGGGATTCCGGGCCGTCTACACATTCCACAAGAACGAAGGTGACCAACTCACCGCTCGGTAATGCGGGCCCATCGCCCGGTATGCTGTGCCAGCTGCCAGCCAGAACGTGTCATTCGTTTTCAGGAAGTAAGCCCGACGCATCGAGACACGCGAGGTGTCCCGGTGGCCGATACTCTCATAAGCGCTTTTTTAAATGCGCTCATCAAAGCAGGTAATTTACAAATGGCATTGCTCGCTCACTGGCCAGTTTTGGGCGTGGTAAGGTCCGACAACTTTAGGCGACGTGATACGCTGCATACGGAGGTTGTGAACTGCGCACCTCATAAAGTGCAAAGGTTCTGGGTAAGCATTTATTACAATAGTTGGGAATTTATGCGTATGTGGTCTTCATAGCGCAGTGACCTTCGGCGTAAAAGCCAGCGTATTGTATTCGACAGTCAGTTTCAGTGCAATTGCTTTCACGTCTTTTGCCGACATCTGTCATCAGTCCTTAAAAAGTTCAGGACAGGTGAATCCATTACTTGGACTGGAGATTGTAGGAGCGATTGCTCACCTTGGCTCATGTTTGTCGGCATGACTTTTGAAGCTCTAGGTTTTAAGTTTTTTTTTTAAAAAACGACGGCCTGGAAGGGTCCGAAATTGTGGTTGCATTGCAATATTGCAGGAAAACCATATTCGACGAAGCATTTCTCATGACGATATCTTGAAAATATCGCAGTGTGACCTTTATAGCGCTGCGTTATTCGTTGCTGGAAACCGAATGGCGGTATGATCATTGGTGGTAAGTATTTAAGCCGGTCAAGGTAGTGAGTGGCCGGGGCTGGACTGTGCCGTTGATTCTACAAAGTTTCCTGTTTGGTGGACGGTGAGCCGCGCTCCGCCTGCGGTCTCGGTACTAACTAGAACCCAGATCCAGGTCCTTTGGCTGCACTTGGATAAAACCAAAATAAACATTGCTGAAGGAAAGGTTTTCTTTGATAGTGCTGAGCGGGCGATGCAATGAGAGAGTTCCGTGAAAGGGTCCATCTCAAAGGATAAATGTGAGCTGTTGAGGAAGGATTGTCGAAGGTCGGCTTGCAGTTCGAATTATTCAAGCCTAAATCACACAGGCACGTAGGAATTAAATACCGATCTGAACCGTAGCAATCCGTTCAGGTTGCATTGAGCAATGATTGCCTAAGCAATTGCCCGACTGAGGAGAAATGCCTATCAGCCGCTGATTGAAAGTTTTCTCGTGCTCATCATTGCTAGTGATACGTGCTGGGATTTGATTGAGGTTCTGTTAAGGATGGGGTTAATCTGCGTGTGATCGCGACGCGACGAACACTTCAGGTGAGGGTCGTGGACGGGCTCCTAACACCTGTTGGCCGGCTGGCAGCGTACACGCCGGCGCCAGAGTGTAAGTTTGAGGTGGCCGGGCCCGAAGTGATCATCTCGACCGCCAACATCACGGACGACTTCATACAGCAGGCGTTGGTTAACGACATCGCCCTGGACTGTTCCTGGCGCGTCCTCGTCACGCCTGGAAGGGAGGTGTGTGAGTACGGCTCAGATGTGTGGTCTCCTATCCAGTGCGAGGTGCTCCAGCTCACCCTCAACTCCAAACTTTGAGAAGGAATTCGGTAAAATCCGGAGTAAAACCCGTTGTTGACGCATTCTTTGGAAGGTTATGTTGGTTCACTTTATTTTGCTCAGCAATGCCCCCCCCCCCCCCTCTCCTCCCCGGCTCTCCTTCCACCTATTTTTCAAAACTTTGCCCCTGCGTGTGCTTGTGTAACGGTGCTCAGTGGCATTCTTGGCCGCGCCTGTCACGACGAAACGTAGCACGGTCTGCACTGGACGGAAGGAAATGGAGTGGAACAGAACGCAGGTCGTCCGCGTCCGCACTGATTGCTTATATGCGTACAGTCTGGTTTTTCAGGTCTTTTGGGTATTTGGGGCCTTCAGGTCACTGGACGTAAATATGGAAATGAGGGCGGGGATGTGCTAGAAATCGACCAGCTAACGTGCGCGGTGTGCGCAGATCCAACTCCTCTTCACCGAGTTCAACTTGGACAAGCCAAACGAGTGTAAGCTCAACTTCGTGGAGATCCTGTACGGACCCGAACTGCACCTGATCAGCCAGACCCACTACTGCAGCAGCATGGCCGATTCGGTCAAGCTGCCCAACAGCCAGGACGTGACGTTCCGCTTCTATGCCGCGCCATCCACACTTCCCAGCCTTCGCGCCGAGAAGACGTCCGTCGTAGCTGTGGCCACCGAGCTGCGGCCGCGCAGCAGCGAGGGTGAGCTCTCCCCCCCCCCCCCCCCCCCCCCCCCCCCGCCTTCTCCGCCACACGGCCACAGCGACGGCCGCGTGGCAGAGACGGGGAATATCTGTTCTGAAGGCCGTGCGAGCGACGGCGTGCTGTTACACCAGCGGTGGCTCGCCCGCTGATGTCTGTTCTGACGGCCGTGCGAGCGACGGCGTGCTGTTACACCAGCGGTGGCTCGCCCGCTGATGTCTGTTCTGACGGCCGTGCGAGCGACGGCGTGCTGTTACACCAGCGGTGGCTCGCCCGCTGATGTCTGTTCTGACGGCCGTGCGAGCGACGGCGTGCTGTTACACCAGCGGTGGCTCGCCCGCTGATGTCTGTTCTGAAGGCCGTGCGAGCGACGGTGTGCTGTTACGCCAGCGGTGGCTCGCCCGCTGATGTCTGAAGGCCGTGCGAGCGACGGCGTGCTGTTACACCAGCGGTGGCGCGCCCGCTGCCGTCCAGTCAGTGGGGTGTAGCCAGCTTCCCGGCCAGTGGCGGCGAGCCCTCCTTTTATCTACCGCTCCACAAGCTTGACCAGGCTGTGGCCGAAGTTTGATCTCGGCGAGCCCTCTCCGAACAGCTGGTGGCATGGCTTCTCCGGACCTTGCTCCGCCGGGGACAGCGCACGTACGCGCACCCCGCTCACTCGTCGGCCCTCAGACAAGCGCAGACCTGCTGCTCTGGAAGGGGCAGCAGCTCACATCCGTACTCTTCCCTGGTGTGCAGACCTGGGTCAGTGTCCGGGCACATCTCACGTCTTCTCACACGTTCCGCAGGTTTTGTGTAGGTTTGTGCCATGTTGTGGAAGGACTCGAGTGGGAAAGAAGTGGATGAGCGTGCGGCGCTCTCTCGCGATTGGTAAAGAGTCTTACATGACGGCCATCAGTGCGTGACAGTCTTGCCCCATTCCAGAGCAGTGCGATAGTGACGAGTACGACTGCGACGACTTGTACTGCATCAGCGGCTCTCTGGTCTGCGACGGCCACTTCAACTGCGACAAACAGTTGGACGAGAAGAACTGCGACACGGACAAGGATAACGGCAGCAGGGAGCTGCTGACCAAGGCCAACATCGTCATCATGGTGATCGGCTGCGCACTCCTCTTCGGCCTGTGCTTCTCCGTCTGCTGGAATTGCATCAGGAAGCTTCGGGAGGATTTCAGAGAGAAGGAGGTACGCGTGTTCCTTCCATGTTGACTCCGTGGCAGGAATATGAACCGGCTGCATAAATGTTCACAAAATGATGAATAGTGAGATCCGTAATTGGGCTTTTGTTTGGATGGCGGTCTGGCAAAGTAGCGTAAAACGCATCTCATGTTTGACTGATGAACACAATAGTTTGTTCATTTTGGTATGACGTACACGAACGTAACGCGTTACTGTTTTAACCGCTTCCGCCTTTGCCTGATTCCGTCGTCGGGAGTCCATCTGGAAATACGCATGCGACACAGGACAGAGTTGTCCAGGCAGCGGCGTACTTACTGACGTATCAAAAGCTGTTAGTTTGACGTCAAGGTTGATTACTTGCACCGATTCTGCGATGCTGAGAAGATTTCACGGTCTTAACCTGGGACTGGTGTGTGTGTGTGTGCGTGTGTGCGTGCGTGCGTGCGTGCGTGTGTGCGTGTGTGCGTGTGTGCAATTGGTGCTCTCTTCGTGAGATCGTTCGAGGTGATGACGGCGTCGCACGACTGCCGCAGGAGGAGCTGCGCCAATCGCGCGAGGCTGACCTGGACGCCCTGCCGCCGACCATGCCGAGGATCCGCTCGCGCGTGACGCTTGACGACGGCGGCTGCTACGTGCCCGGCGTCGAGCTGAAGCTGGCCGTCGGGCCGCCGCACCATAACGGCGGCGCCCGTCTCATCCGCGAGGAGACGGTCGACCTGGACGTGGAGACGGCCGACTGCGGCTGCCAGACGCCGGCGCCGGCGCCGCGTCGGCCGTCGCGCGACAGTTGCGCCAGCGGCTCATCCACGCCGCCGCCGCCGCCGGCGCGGCCGCCGGTCGAGCCGCCGTCGGTGGCGTACCGGCGCTACCCGGCGCCGCCGGCGTATGGCACGGCGCCGCGGCCGCCGCGCGCCGTCCGCCGGCCGCCGCCGGAGGAGGACGAGGACGAGGACGAGGACCGCTCGGGGCTGGCCACGCCGCGCAGCTACAGGTCAGAGGCCGTGATCGAGATGGGCATGAGGCCCAACAGCCTGCACTCGGCCAAGTCGGCGCCCGATGTGGTGGTCAAACTGTGACCGGCCAGCCGCGCCCCACGGCGGCCGGGGACGGCACTCCCGCGGTCGTGGCCGATGTGACTGGGCCGTCCGGACCGAGGACGGGACCCCTAGCCCAGTGGATCGATCGGAGCGGTGATCGACCAACTGTCCGTCACGACTGCTGTTCCACTGGGAACAGTGGAACAGTTGGGAACACCGGGAACACACTGAGAACAGTGGAATAGTGGCACGGTTTGCAGCTCCAAGCTGAGACTGAACGGTGCGCGCACGCCGCATGGTCCGGTCTGATGGTGGCGCCGCCTCCTGGTGATCGCGTGGGCTGTAAATGGGAATCAGCCGGCGTGCGACGCCAGCCGTCTGTTGACCTCTGACGATCCGCCGTATTCGGTGTAGCCGGTCGTGCAATACCGCTAGACTTTCAGCCCCATGTGATGACGGTGTCGTCGCGGTGCTTGACGCTCAAACGGTCACACGAGCCGAACTGTGTTCGCAAGCCTGTTCCACGTTTGTGACTGATTGCTTCCTGGGTTGACGTGCGCAATGACTTTGGGATGAGCGTAAGCCCGCAACCAAGAGCTGACATCGAAGCGATATGGCGTCTCTGGGATGCGTGTTATTGGCGCGAACACGTCTGTCCGAACAGGCTTGAAAGCTGGGTTTCTGGGATGACGAGTCATGACGAACCGATGGCTCCTGCTGCGGTTATGAGCGTGCTGGTATATTTCGGCAGAGCAGAATAAACAGACGAATGCAGTGGGAAAGTAATGACAGTAAACATAGTATTGGCTGTTTTAACGCCAGGTTTCAGAAATTTGAGTTGATTTCTTAACGTCTATGTATCAAAAGGACGGCTAGGCTCACACGCTCTTGCACACACACTCTTCGAACAGTTTGTGTGCCTGTATATGACGCGACATTCGTCCATCACGCAACCCGCATAGCTCAACGATAAAAAATCACATTATTAGCCGAAGCACCATGGAGGCAATTAAAGGGAGTGTTCCGCATCTGTGTGGAGTTTTGAACTGAAATAGTCATGTTGAAGATTATTCAGTGCAGTTCACAGCCCTGGCATTAAGACCTAAGCAACTCTAGTTTCTGATCTACGCGCCCGCAAGAATGTGCAGACCATTTTGTGCAGACTATTTCAAGGTCACTCAGGCATCCATGACGCCGTCATGACGTCATTCAACTCCTGCTATTCCGCTGCTCATGTGGTGATCAAGGCCAAAAATGAAATTGCCGAGTCGTTTATATTTGGCGTTTTTGTGTGACCATATCTAGATAGGACGGCCGTCAATTGGCTCTCAATCAATGTTGTGCAGGGTACGATGACGCAACCAAACAATGACGTTATGAGCGGTATATCAACCAAGTAAAGAAATTGTGCTGTCTAAAGCAGTCTTTTCCACTAAAAAGTATGTAAAAGTTATAAGTGAGCTTATTTCGCCACATCTGATGCCTGCTTCAATACCTTGAAATGTGGAACATTCCCTTTAAGTTTGCTAAGTGCCATCCGCATGCCCTGCATTCGGTTAGGCCTAACGCATCGGAATGCATTCGAGACCTCCTAAGAATATTCAGGACGACTTACTGGCGACTATGAATAGCATGGGAATTTTATAGACAGGCAACCCAAGAAAAGGGACCGAGTTCGAAAGAACCTGAACCTTCCAGCACATCCGGCCCTGGTGCTCATCCTGTACAGCTTGACAACGTCTCACTTAGGTTGACAACGACCCACCTAGCTTGACAACTCTGTAGACGCGAACACTCCCAATATCTGACCATCGTAACAGATGTGCATCGTACTATGCTACACAGTTGACCTGTGACCTACGAATGACAGACTGGCCAAACGCGCGTTATGTAGTGCGAGGTGCCTCATAAAACACACAGGTGATGTCTATTCGCGGGCTCCAGATAGCTGGCTAGACCTGGACTTACCGATACTGTCCACAAGATGTCGACAAGTACATGGCAAAGGCTTTCGGTCAGCGGCCACGGCCCGTCGGTGAGGTCAGCTGCCGGTGGCCCGTGGCGAATGGTGGCCTCCGGAGCCGCCCGGGGTCACGCCAGGTCAGGGCGGGTCAAGGTCGTCATCAGTGCCGGCCGTGCCGCCGAGACGTGATGGCGACGGCTGGTCAGGACGGCGACACGGCCTAGGAGGGCAGCGGTGCCTTGCAGACGTAGAAGGTGTCGTCGAGGGCGGCCGCGGATACAAACTCGCCCGTTTCCAACATGTGGCTGTAGAGCCTCGCTTCGTCGTCATTCTTCGGCTCGCCGGACTTGTACTGGCGACCTGCGAATGCGCCGAACGGCGAGCCGTCGGTCCAGTGCCAGGTGTGGGTGGTGGCTGAGTCGCGCTCCAGGCCGATGATGATCTTGTCTGAGATCCTGCTCACGATGAAGACGTGCTCCGCGTCATTGGTCACTGATGTGATGCGAGCAGAGGGATGAAGAGATCGACACACGTTGTCCACGTTGTTGGGCATCGCCTTTTCACTGGAGAAGTAGTAACAGTAGTCAGAATGTTGCGACCACCTATTGCTGTTACAATCCAAAGGAGGGATAGTGGTTCCTGTGATGGCTGTGGTAGGTGCTGTAGTCGGCACAGTGGTGCTGGTTGGCTTGACGGTAGTGACAGGCTCGGGGGCGGCTGTCGGACTGGCGGTAGCTGTCAGCTTGGTGGTAGTTTGCTTGCTGGTTGTCTGCTCGGTGGCGGTCGGACTTATTTCAGCTGCCTGCCTGGTGGCTGTCGGCTCACTGGTTGTAGTCTGCTCTGCGGTGGCCTCCATAACCAAGCCGAACGGGACTGGGCCTGAGGGGACACTTCCCGGCTCTGTGCGGTACAGGGTGCAGTTTTGCTGCTCGGCGAAGGCGGCCGCCACGCAGCCTCGCCACCTCAGACAGAGGGCGGTGCAGATCAGAAGGCTGGGCAGCGACGCGTCCTCTAGCGGCTGGTGGCTGTCCAGCCGGGCGGCGCGGAACCGGGCCTGCTTGACATCGGCAGCGGCCGGGCCGCAGCACCCCGTCACCAGCGCCAGCGCCAGTGCCAGCACCGTCAGCATCGCCCCGCGACGCACAGCGCGGGACCGCCGAAAACGGCCGACAACACCGACCACTGTCGGTCGCGACAGACCTCGCTGGCAACGGGCTGAGAGCCGGACGGCAGTCCGCAAGGCAAGCAGGCTCAGAATGACGAGCACGGCAGCGGCCGGCGAGCCGGCAGTCCTGGTGTCGTCGCCTCCGCGTGGCTGCCGAGCCGGGCGGGAGCCGGAGCGCTGGACGGCCAGCGCCGGCGGCCGGTGAGCGGCAGTGACGGCGCCCTCCTGACCTGCACCGCAGCAGCCTGCAGGCAAGCCGGCCGTGCGCCGCTGCGACGCTGCCTCGGGCGGCGCCTCGGGCGGTGCTCACAACACTGCCCGCCACGCCCGCGTCGGCGTGTTTTTGACGTGTGCGGCTGCTCACCTTCGCGCTCGTGAAATGCCGACACCGATTGGGCGAACGGCCGGGCGCCGCGTTTTACCGCGATTAATCGCAGGGTTCTGGCGGCGCCGCAATTGCCGATCCTGGCACCAAAGCCACCGAGGGCTGCCAACAACCAGCGAACGCTGCCGGTTAGTGATTGGATACCGTTATTACGCGCGCGTGGTCCGGCGGTAATGACAATGCTACATCGCCGATTGAGCACCCCGCCGGCTAGGTTTCACCAGACGCTGTGCATCGCATTTCGTTCGGGGTCGATACCTGAAGCGCCGTAGAAAATGATATGTTCGGTGCCTGCAGTTTTGTGATGGCTCGAATATGAAGAACTTGTGAGTAGGCTTATGACCGAAGCGATTCTATAACGCACTGCGCAGTCGGGTGCTCTATGGGTTTAACCGTTGCTCGCAAAAACGATTTTCGTTGTTGATCCTAGTCTGTCGGTGGGAGTTGCTTCCACCTATCCCCAACGACACTTTTCCAACTGGGATCAAGTGACGAAGCAACAACTGGTGGTTTGCTTTACTCCTCATGTATCCAGCCATGTCCGATTTCACACTCTGAGGCTAAAAATGGTTTCCCCAGTTGAGGTAAACCCTTTGGATTTGAATACGCCCGGATGTAAACGCATTTATTGCGCGCTACCAAACACATTACAGCTGGTGAGACAAGTATGGAGGGCATTCATGAGATTACAAAGCTCCTGGGCTCTTTACTCATGCATGTCTGTATTACCTTAAACCTATGATGAATGCCCATTCGTAACGTTCCAGATCATGTCAAAGCACGCTAATTTTTTGCACCAATTTTCCGATGCCGATTTTCGTGTAATCAACAAGTACTTGTAGGTGATTAAGTGTAGAAATATGCAGAATTGGCTGCGGGGATTAGAACTGCCACAAAAATGTCTCTGGAAATGCGAAGGTAAAGGTCAAGGAAATGCGAAGGTCAGGCTGGCTAGGGCCAATCTTCTCTTACTTTGAAAACCACCAGGCCAATACACTCAGATACCACCCAGATAGTTCAGAAGTCCTCTTCCTGGTTGTGCGCTGTCGAATCGCGCCGTTTAATCTCACTACGTTTGTCCTGCTGGTCTTAACATACCCCGCGGTGGTAGCTCCGCGGCCTGCAGTCACAGGACAATGCCGCCAAAATATAAAAAAGACTGAAAAGATAATCATGCCAAAAGAAACCTAAGCTATCCCATCAACTACGGCTCAGCTCTCAGTACCGAGAAGTGTCACGGCGTGGCATCTTTCCAGGCGCGGGCGTGAGCTAAAAGCCTCCGGACTCACTGGATGGTGTCGGCGTGACTCTTCAGATGAGATATTTAGCCGCCAGTGCGCTTTACGTAACCATCAATGTTTGTATTTGGCAATGACGTGTCCCTGTTTTATTATTTGCAGAATGGTGGACGATTTGCGGGATGGTGGTTTGTGCTCGTAAAAACCGTGCTGCCAAAATGATTTCGAGTCGCCATAAACCAGCGCAATCTCATGCAATTGCTGTACATCACGTCCACGTCGGTACCGAAGCTGAACGGCATTGCGTCTTGTTTAATGGCTTACCTCATCATGTGCTTAAGGCGGCGCTTTTGACTTTGATTTTCAAAGTTTCCTTTAAGTTGGCGCGTTCCCCTGTTCCAATCTTTTCAGAGACGTGAGTCTGCAGAGATTTGAATGCATTCACTTTCCTTCAAGATTGCTTCCCGCGGCCGAGCCAAAGAAGTTATGTGTAAGAAGATGGACCAGCCACTCACTCAAATGTCACTCGAATGTCACTCAAGTGGACGGATCGAAACGAAACGCGTACAGACAATTATTTCAGTGACCCAACAAATGTAAAACGACGACATTGCACGAGCCTTCGTCTCTTCTGAAGTTCCCAACTGATTCCCTCCTTCTCTCGAAAACCCAATTTCGCGAAAACCACTCAAAAAAGCAAAAACGCCACTCGGCATCATCCGCTCGGCGTCCTCTACTCCGCGCGCGGAAGCTCCGCATCCGTCCTCGTATGCTCGCGTCGGTCTGCGTCCAACTAGCCCGGCTCTGTCGCCTGGCGCCCCTAATCGGGAGCAGCGGCCGAAGCGACGTAGCGAACGGCGCCGCTGGTGGGCCGCGAGCTGGCCCGCTGCGCCAGCGCCATCTTCTGCAGCAGGTACGCCCTGGCGGCGACCTGCGCCGAGCGGCGAGCCAGCGTCGCCGACACGCCGCCCGGCAACGGCGGCGAGCGCGGCTCGGCCGCCAGCCAGGCCGGCACCCGCCGCG